ATGGTAGCAAGGAGATGTTTGGTGAGGCTTGTGGTATGTTTTGTGGCGTTTTGGAAGGTTTTTGGTGTGCTTGTCAGCATGGCTCCAAAGAAAATGCAGAGCAGGCTTGGCAAGAATAATTTGCTTCAGGTTGTGACCAATTCGGGTTGCAACCAGAGTCATGGAACGGATTAAGTTCGTAACCCGAGGTACCACTGTAATTCAACAATGTCTAGAGGACCACATTTCTTCACCTTTGGAATCAAGGATTATTATACGGCAGATATTTTTTCCCAGTAAAGAGCTTTTTACATGGTGTGTATGCTTCATCCCTACTATAGATTTGACTTAAACTAGTGGAAAACTTCAATACCTTTTTAAAATTTTACATTTATCATTATAGCAAGACCAGATAGCTCATAAACTCAATGCAGAATTAAATAAAGGATTCTTTTAATCATTCAATGTAGAAACTATCCATACTACGCTACAAAGTATAGATTCCAAGGAGACACTCAGGAGCCAATTCTCATTCATGAACTAATCCATCACACATCCTTCTCCCAACAGCAGAGAGGGCCATGAGGAAGACCCAATGGATTTAAGACTGAATTTCCCTCTCATGTGTGGAACTGCATCATGGGAATATAACTGCCAGAGCATTAGCTAAGATTAAAGTCGTAGCTTGGGCTCACACGTTGCTTTAATCAAGAAGGGCAAAAAGTGTAGCCCCCGGTGTGCTCTCAGAACGCTCAGTTTGCTCTCAGAATGGACAGAACAAAAATGGAGGTCTTAAAAGAGTAGACTATGAAGGAATTCAAAAAGCCTTAAGTCATATCAAAACTTAAGTTGCCCACTTCATCCTTTACATATTCCCCACTCTTTCTTACCCCAACTGGGCCCATTTGGAAGTACTGCCCTGCTCAATTTGCAGCTATTCTCAGGCCACGTAATACCTGTGGTGGCCCTTCAGTGGACAGAAAATCCTTGCTGCTGTATCCCTTTGAGCTATAATATGGCATTTGGTGTGGTTTAGTATGTTCAATGAGTCCAAGATTCGTGGTTTGTAAACCATGGTTTAGTATACTGCACGAATTTAGCCAACTGTATTTTATTCTATAAAGCATGACTTAGTGTGACTCTATACAGACTAAGCATTCTTAATGAATGAAGAACATTCACATATGATCCTTAAAAATTTGTGTCATTGTTAAACAGAGAACAAAGATGTTCATACAAATACTTCATGTAATACTTACTGATAGAAAGAAAATGTCCTATTTGCAAACGATAGTGCTGGAATGAAAGGTAAGTAAAAAATAAGCAGACTATGTGGAAAAACACAAGAGCTAAAATCCATGGTTCCGACCAATCTGTGTCCTATGAAAAAACAGAAGGCAAATTTATCAGAATTATAACTGCAAATGAGAGCCATTCATTTTTGCTTCTCTGGTATACTCATCACTCTTCCATAATCACCTTCCTTAATCAGCTTACTTTAGCAAAAACTTGAAAATAGATATAACAATTTAATCAGAAATCATGCAAACTGATTTGCAAGAAATGTTATTGTGTTTGGAACCGCCGTTCCAATGGCTTTTTATAGAATAAACTGAGGGCATTCCTAACTGATGCCAAAAGACAAATGTTTGGATTAAGAGTTTACCTATACTTAATCATAGATCAGAGAAAAACATTTCTGGGAAGTTAAGAGAATCAATTATAATTTGACTGCATCTGGCAGAGATGAAGAGGAGGAAAAACAGAATTATAGCAAAAACTTAAAAGGAGAAGGAAAGAACATTTCTTTAAAACAGAGTTGAAATCCATGGAGATGAAGGAGGGGAGGGAAGGGCTCTAAGTGAGGAACTGAGATTTGGAAACTGCAAACATTCACATCACAGACTTGCAAGCCTAGTGGATAAGTGAGAGGAAAGGAAGCATGCAGGGAATGTAGCTTTCATATATTCCAAAAGTTCAATGACTGGGTGGCTTAATAGTCCAAGAGGAGCTGCAGAAAGGCATCCGGCAACATGCTAACTGGAAAGGTTTAACCATGCACAGGAGAATGCTCTTCTCATGCTTTCTAAGGCTGAAATCCTGTGCATGCTTACCTAAAAGCAAGCCTCACTGGACTCAGAGAAATGTTCTTTCCTTCTCCTTTTAAGTCATTCACATCACAGACTTGCGAGCCTAGTGGAGAAGTGAGAGGAAAGGAAGCATGCAGGGTATGGAGCTTTCATATATTCCAAAAGTTCAATGACTGGGTGGCTTAATAGTCCAAGAGGAGCTGCAGAAAGGCATCCGGCAACATGCTAACTGGAAAGGTTTAACCATGCACAGGAGAATGCTCTTCTCATGCTTTCTAAGGCTGAAATCCTGTGCATGCTTACCTAAAAGCAAGCCTCACTGAACTCAGAGAAATATAATGCTGAGTAGACCACAATGTTCTGTCCATCCCGATTCCCTGGCTAGGAAAAGCTAATAAAAGGGGGAAGCGAGCAAGAAGAAATGGCTACAAACGGAGATATAGAGAAAATGGGAAAAAAATGGAAAATGGAATTTGCCCACCTTTTTGCAGTCTCAATCTAGATGACAAAACCTCCTCCACCCAGTCTCAAATGTCTACCGCTGCTAAGATTCCTGTTTGCTATTGCCGTTCGTTTAAGAAAAACTGCTAGATCCTAAACCGACAGGACAGACCCAAACGCGTTTACGTTTGCAAAATATAATAAATGAATGCAACTCGCAGCTCAGCAGAGTCCTGGGTCTGTCGTTTTTTTCCCCCAAGCAGGAGGCAGCCGTTCAGCAGCAAAGAAACTAGGCTCGTATCTCACAAAGGAGGTGAAACCTCACACACAAAATTATTTGATTTTTTTTTTTTTTTTTTAAAAACACCTCTTGCCTGGGCTTCCTCCCACCTGTAAGGCAGTACTCCAGCGAGCCCTTTCACGCGCTTCTTCCTCTAATCCACGATGCCCGCAAGCAACACACGTATCCAAGCTTTGCGGAACAAATTCTCAGTCTCTCTCTACGCAAACCGTGCCTGACGGTGCACCTGTGAGACCGTCCAAATCTCACCTCCAGACGCTCATCACGTGGCAAAAACAGATCCAGCCGCTATTCTAACCAAACCCCACATGCCTTTTACCCAAGCAGATTTTGAAGCAACGGCTATTCTCGGTGTCCTCGAAGGGATCACGCGTAGTTGCCCGCCGCTGCCACACGTTGCCCTGTCTTTCTGGAATCATATGGGGAGGGGGCAGTTGAGAAAGATACAAGTTCCTGTCTTGCTGCAAGCGAGAAGGTGGGACAGAGGGAGATTCTGCCCAGGATTCTCCCGGGAGCTGAACTCCCCCCCACCATCCTCAAGTCTCCCTTTGAGGTTGCAAACTACCGCGCCTCCGTCTTGCAGGGGGAAGCAGAAACACCAACGCCCAGCCCACTTTTCCACTTGTAGAGAGCTTCTTTTCCTAGAGCCCCGAGACCGCAGAGCTCCCTTCTCTGGCTCTACCTCTGCAGTCAGTTCACACGCCCGACCCTGTTCAGCCTGGCGAGATTCCCCCCCCCCCCGCCGCCTTGCAAAGGTTCCTAGTGGAACGCGAAGCCTCCGCGGGCGGGAATTACCGTGAGGACCCGAGTGACTCCGAGGGGCTGGCGCCCTTGAAGTTCCATGGCAGGGGAAAGGGCTGGAGGACGTCTGAAGCTACATGCACTTCGGTTGCAGTTTGAACACAACTAGTCTGGTGTCCTGGTTAAAGGTGTTGGATTGGGACGCAGTTTCTATTCCGCCCTTGGCTATGAAAGCTCACTGGGTGACTTTGGACTAGTTCCTCTGTCTCAGCGGAACTGTTGGGGGAGTGGGTAGAGATTTCTATGTAAGCTTCCCTGTGTCCCTGGGAGGGAAAAATTAATCAAATAATATGCAGAGTATAAGCGGGTAGCGAACAAGAGGAACCTCTCTACATGCTAATGTTTTGTATCGCTTCTTTATCGTATAAATTGCTGTGCCGTCTGTTCCATGAGAAAGCCGGAAGTGTTTGTTTGTTTTAACTGCATTGGGCTGTAGCTCTTTGGGAGTGAGAGATGGATTCTCTCGCGAGAATCTCTCCCAGTTCCTACTAGCGAGAGTTCTTTCGACGCTTAGGGATGGTTCTCGCGAGAGTTTTCTGGGACTTGAGGCTATAAATACGGCTGGGCGGGTGTGGCGCAGGGGTGGGTGTTTTGGGGAGTGGTTGTGGGTGGCCGAGCGGGTAGGAGGGAGGGATCTAGTTGAATGTTTTGCTGAAGAAAGGGCGGGAAGGGCGTTGAAGAAAGGAATAGGTACAAAAACGGCTTTTTTAAAAAAGAAAAAAATTGTAAAGGGTAGGAAAGCATATAAATTTTTAGAAAAAAATACCTTTTTCTCATTTGAAGTGCAAATCCGCTTTTGTAGTTGTGTGTCTTGGGAGGGAGAATAGGGTAATAGAATGTTTTTAGGTTTGTATAGTTAAGGATATTAGGGGGGGTTATTTTTTTTCGAAGATTAATGCAGAGTTTGTATGGATACTTCCTTTTCTTTGAGATTGAGCCTCATTTCAGTGATTTTTATTCCCTCTTTAAAAAAAAATAACAGCATGAATTCCATTGAGGTGCTACACAATATAGATAAAAGATATTATTGAAAAAGGCAGGAGAAAAATCAGAAAAACCAGAAAATTTTGAAAGGAAGCATGTAATATTTAATGTGTACAAAAATTAAAATACAGGGCTGTAATAAAGATAAGGATTTTAGTCAGGGGCTGACTTGAATTTTATGGGTATATTCTAATCTATGTATGCCTATTATACCTTTATTGACAAAGAATTACTGATTGGAATGATAAGGCTATTTTCCTTAGTAGCTGCATAACAGCGTTTAATTCTTCTTTTAAAGTACAAAATTAGGGAAGCTAAAATCACCCAACTTAATTTTTTTACAGTAAGTGGTAGTTTGTTCAGTGATTGAGAATACCTTAGAGCTTTGATTTAATTGCCCTTGGAATCATATTGCAATCAAACTGCTCCAAAGAAGACACCTGACAGGTTCTCAACATCTCCAGGTGCATGAAGGCTCTTCTTTCCTCTCACAAGTGCTACTATGCCTGCAGGAATGTGGGGCCCCTCAGTCTATTCTTAATTCAAATCAGCCACAACACCCCAGCACAAAACTCCCACATGAGCTCTTTAGTTCTTTAGTAAGTAGACTCATCTTGGGCTGCAATCCTTCAAGCTGTATTTAGGAATAAGTCTGTTTGGATACAATAGGGAGGAATTTAATTCTGATTGCTCTTGTTGGGAAGATTTGCTCAGTTTGTTTATCTAGCAAGTTGAAATGCTTATTTTAAAAAGGGAGAAAATCTGGAATATGTCTTAAGGGGAAAAGCCATATGTATAGCTTTTTCTGCAGGCAAAATGGTGTTGGAGGGAAGCTCTTGGCAACCAGAAGGGGGTGTGTATGTGTGTGCCTGTAGTAGTCTCAAGAATTAAATAAAAGCTGGATAGACCAAGCCCCTCACTATGTCACCAACCACATTGTAAACAAGGCATTTGCGCAGCATGATTTGTGTTAGGGAAAAGGAAAAAATACTTTAAAATTGGAACAGCTAAAGACAAATTTAGCCTGCTACTTCGTTGGAGCTAGGGGTGAGCTGAAGATCAGGTTGTGAAGACAGTGTCCTCTGAAATTGGTTAGCAAGACATCTTTGTGCTATAATGATTAGTGGGATGTGAGGATGAGCTGTTGGAAAAGAGCATGGTTTTCCTGGGGAACTTGTACCTCTGTGTAATCTTAGTTCTGTTCTTTTGTTTCTTTGCACCAACTAGGAGGTGGCAACTCAAGCAAGCTGGCTTAGCCTCTAGTTTTGGAGCTTGTGGAAAAAATCTCTCCCAAAAAGCTTGGAGTTTGGAGAAAAATCTCACCCCAAAAAATGCTAGTTGAAAATCAGATTATTCCCATCCCCCCCAATTTCTTTCCTCTCCTGGGTTTCCTACCTTGAGTCAGTACTTTTCTGAGGACTTCATATGCTTTTTCCCTCAATTCCCAATAGACTGATTTAAGCTTGCCATAAGGGGTATGTTAGATTTTTTTAAAATTTGATTTTGGTGCCACCCAACTCCAGAGTGACTCTGGGCAGCTCCCAATATAAAAATAAATATGCAATAACATAAATTCAATAAAAGAAGTAACACAATGGCAGTCTAGACAACATCAAAACATACAAAAAAAATCATTTCTAAGTAAATGCCGTGTGTGTCAGAAGGTGAATATTAATATATATGCATTTGAGTGTGTTAAATTTATATTTTTTAAAAAGTTGCAGAATGAATGTATAGCATTCAGACTAAGCCTTAAATTTAATTGAAAGCAATGAGCCTCAAGATAATGAAGAATAATCTTGTGATTTTAGTGGTATGAATGTTATTTTGTGATGATAAAAAATGATATAACTGATAACCTGATCACAGCCCATTTAGGTAGCTGTTACAATGGAAATTGCCAGAAAATACATATTTTTGGAGGATATTAATAGTGTGGAACTATTATACTTTTTGTGCCTAAATTTTCTAGGAATTTCTGAAGCATTTTGTTGAAGCCTTGTATCTACCGTGACTATTAATCCTGTGTTTGGTGGAGGAGGTGGGCTTGTATCCATAAGTCCCACCCTATTTACAAAGCCAGTTGACATTCAAAAGCCCACCCTTGCGACACCAAAAGGTGCAGGGCCTACAAAATGTCATAGATCACAATTCAGCCCAGGCTAATTTATCTCCGTTTCTGTTTTTTGTTGTTTTAAGAAACCTTAATTGCTATTTTGATCTGATTTCAATCAATTTTATTATTTTGACCATGGATCATAACAAATAAGGTAAAACCTGCACAAAAGTGGCCATACGTTAATACATTAAAATATACAAAAGTCAGTGAAAGCATTAAAAGTGTTGTTACAGCCAGTAAAATATTAGAAAACATTAGGAACATTTAATAAAATATTCTGTTTAGTGCAGAATTATATTCTTGCAAAGCTTGCTAATTTCCATAGCAGTGTTTCCTTGTCTAAATTTATTAGATATTTTAAATGAATCGGGCCAAAATGATTTTCTTATCAAAAGGGGCTCCAGAAAGTTTCCACGTGCTGAAGCAGAAATAGGACAGTACAGTAATAGATAATGGGTAAAATATTCTATACTTTCCTTGCAAACAAAGGAAACTGCATTTTATATGGGATATGTGAAATCAGCCATCTCCAGTTGCTGATGCCATTTATTTTTAATTTATTAAATTTATCTCTGCCCATCTCCCCCTAATGGGGGACTCTGAGCGGCCCACAACTTATTAAAACAATAGATATACAATTACATAAAACCTAAAACATGTACAAAACAATTACTAAAAAAGAGTCCAAGAGGCTGATGGTTCAGAGCAGCAGATGTCAGGCCTCTAAGGGGCTAGCCGTCCCCACACTTGATGTCTTCTCTCCCCCCCCAGGCCAGATGGCAGAGCCAGGTCTTCAAATCCCTCTGGAAGGCCAGGAGTGAGGGGG